TATTTTACGATATTTTTAAAATTTTAATTAATAATTAATAAAATCTACCATATTTTATTCATAATACTTTTAAGAAATAAGTAATCAAATATCAAAAAAACTTTCAGTCACAATTATAATACAGCACAGTTTAGTACAATCACAACCACAATCATAATCACAGCTATAGCAATTCCAAATGCACTCATAATTTTTAAAACCCTTAAACCATTAATATAATTTATAAACTTTATATTATTATTATAATTAACTTGGAATTTTATCACGTAAATCATGTAGTCGTCTATGTTCTATTACTCTACTTTTATTAGTACTATATTAATATAAATATAATTTATTTAGACTTAAAGATGTAGAAAAAATTTCACTTAAAATGAGATTTAATTAATAAAATTATAAAAATTATAATCCTAATTAAAAATTTTTTAAATTTAGTAAGTAAAGTAATTGTTATATCCTTAAGTAGAAAATTTTTAATCACATATCCTTATTTGTAGGAAATTTCTTAAAAAGTCAGGAACAGTTGGATTCATGAACTAAATAAGCTCTTGTGATTCATCACGTCACGTAAGTATTTTATCAATGAAATTAAAATTAGAAGGAAAAAAACAAAAAAAAGTAAGCAAAAGCAAAAGGGAAAAGAAGTTCTCTTTTTCTTAAAAAAAGGAGTAGATGTAGGTTGAAAAAACTGCAAAATTCCAAATATAGGAAGAAAGCAAAGACTGTTAGGTGTGACGTGAGGAATGACAGTCCATTGTGGCTGGATGTGATGTGATACCACGTCTCCAATCCATTATGGTAATTAGGTGGTGATTCAGATACAGTTTTAGACAAACTTTTCTTCTTCTTCCTCCTTGTTCATCGTATATGTTAGATATTGGATCATTTTCAGGGTTGAGAGGTTTTTAGATTGAGATGGAGCTTGTGGATCTCTTCATCACTGCAACAATGCCGGTGTTTAAAGTGCTAATCATAACTGCACTTGGCTCATGTCTTGCTCTACAACGCATCAATATCTTGGGGGAAGACACCAGGAAGGAACTAAACAAGGTAACTAACTCAATTAATATTCATATCATACTCCTCCTCCTCCTTGATATATTTATATGTAATATGTTAAAGTTTAAAAAAACATCTCCTTCTCTGTGTTTGTTCCTTTTCTCAATTATTACAGGTGGTATTTTATGTGTTCAATCCAGCCCTTGTTGCTACCAACCTTGCAAACACAATTACCTCGGACAGCATGCTCAAATTGTGAGTAATATATTATTTTTAGTCACCACTAATATTTTTGTATTGTTTGCTCCAGTTTTGCTCATGGAAGGTTGATGCATACTCCTTTGATAGATTGCCAACATTCTGAAGGTAACTTGATTCAACATGTATTGTAGGTGGTTCATGCCCTTCAATATCCTCATCACATTTGTTGTTGGGTCAGTACTTGGATGGATTGTTGTCCAATGCACAAGGCCTCCCTCACATTTGCGGGGCCTCATAGTCGGTTGCTGTGCTGGAGGTCTGGTAAACTGACTTTCAGATGCATACCAATTTAATATTCAATCTCATGTTCATACTTGGTTTCATAACATAACTTAGGCCTATTTTATTTAATAATATGACCTCATCATCTGTACAGGAAACCTGGGGAATATGCTCCTTATTATAATTCCAGCAGTTTGCAAGGAGAAAGGAAGCCCATTTGGAGCTCCTGATGTCTGTTACACATATGGAATGGGATATGTTTCACTTTCAATGGCGGTATGTTCTTTCTTTTGTTTGTTATTTCTAATCATATTACACGTATTGCACATATAGTACATCACACTTTCTTTGGCCTTAAGGACTCATTCCACATCATATATATGAATTGCTTGTTTTACACTGTAGGTTGGAGCCATTTATCTGTGGTCTTACGTCTACAATATTGTGCGGATATCTTCAAGTAGTGGCAGCAAAGAGTCCACAACAAACAACTCTGTCACCAAGTACTCTAGAGAAACAGGCACGTCAGACCAGGGAAGTTGTACTGAACCGCTACTACCTTCAAAGGAATGCTTGGCACCTGAGGATTGCAGAGACCAATACGTGCCACCCTGTGATAGATTTCAAGGGAAAGTTGAGGTTATTCACTATGTGACTTCTTCATTTAATTACCTCTTTCCTTTATCTGTTACATGGGTACTACTTAGTCCTAAAATCATTTTCACTATGGAACCTTTATGCCTTTGTTTTTTGGATTTGTGTCATAATTGAAAGTTCAATTGTACTTGACCAATTAACAACAAAACGTTGCTGACCATCAGACCCTGTATGTTTTCCTTTTCCCATTTTCCCCAACGGTTACCTTCAAGTCACTGTTGCAAGTGTCATGTTATCTGCAACATCCTATCATCTATGCTGTGTGGGGTTGTAAACATGAGGATAGTTAGGATGTTCTGAAGCTTGGTTCATACTCTTTTATTATTTGTTACTATTGATAGTTTTTGGTGGAACATTGAAACACTTAACTGAAGCTTTAGGATTTGATTTTGGAAAAGTGTCATTACAGGAGTCAGTTTTGAGTAACATGAAGCAACAAGTGTGCCACTTGGTTCAAAAGATTAATTTGGGAGCATTATTTGCACCTTCAACAATTGCTGTGGTATGATCTTACTTCGATTTTCTATAATTGCTGTCGACTAATGCTTAGCACATCATAATTTTAATATCTTGACAGTATCTTTGAACACTAATTTTAATTAACTGCACATTCTTCTCTGGTAAGATTGTTGGATTTGTGATTGGACTCATTCCTCAAATCCGAAAGCTGATGATTGGTGACAGTGCTCCTCTTCGTGTTATTCAAGACTCTGCTTCTTTAGTGGGGTAAAAGTTAAACTATACACTTTCATTTTCTGTTTTGAAAGGCTCTTTAAACAACAGGATGTCCTATGTCAGTGCCTTATTGTGATATATACTTACAGAGATTTAAGCACAAATGCACAGGCTTGGACTAAATAGATGCATATATTATAAGTTGCAAGATGAAGGGTATTCTGGATTTTAGGAAAATTGGATAATTTGATTAGCTTCATATATTCATCTCTAATCAGCATTTGATCAAAAACTTACATTGTAATTTAGACTGATCCCTTTATTTTATGTCGATGCATGGGTCCAACTTGACAGTACAGTTAACTTCAGTTAAGCTACAGCTTTTGCTTCATTTAGCTTCATTTAGCTTCAACAGAACTTGATGAGATTTGTCTATACATGCACTCTATTTTTTATATGTCTGTCTCCTGCTGAGCTTATCAGTTTTGCACTGCAGAGATGGAGCCGTCCCAACTCTGACTCTAATTATTGGAGGAAACCTGCTCAAAGGTGCTAGCTGATAAGGGTTGATGTATTTTCTTCATGCGTGCATTCATTAATCAACCTATGTTAAACTCCCTTCACGCCCATGATTGTTTACAGGTCTGAGAGGATCAGGCATTCAGACATCTATCGTTATAGGCATCATAGTTGCTCGTTATATTGCTCTTCCTCTCATAGGTGTTGCTATCATCAAAGGAGCACTTTATTTTGGTTTGGTGCATTCCGATGCATTATATCAATTCGTACTCCTACTTCAGTTTGCAGTTCCACCTGCCATGAACATAGGTATGATAACAATAAAAAAACTTGATTATGATACTTAGGGTGCAAACAATTCTGTTCAACATCAGCATGAGAGCATGGTTTGCTCAAGTGATGATCCTTTTCTCCTTTTTTGAACATTAGTTTGTTCCCCAAAAGTGAGAAATTACAAATTTGATGCTGGTGCTAAAAGAAATTTCCTGGTTTCTTTACTGAATAAGCATCTGAAGTTTTCTTGATCCCACTAAATTTGGCAGGAACAATTACTCAATTATTCGGAGCAGGTGAGAGTGAATGTTCTGTTATCATGCTCTGGACTTATGCTTTGGCATCAATTTCACTTACCATGTGGTCAACTTTCTTCATGTGGCTGGTGGCTTGAACTCTGCTACAGAAATATGTATCACTTGACAGAAGAGGATATATGGAAACAGATGTTTGCAAACAAAGTTATTATAGTGAATTCACCTAGCACTTGGGAACCAAAGAAATCAATCACTTGTCACTACCACCAAGAGCGGTGCTTCAGAGGAAACAAATAGATTTCCTCCAATGAAAAACTAACTGCTATTACTTTTTGACAAAACTAATTTAATTACTACCCTTAATTAAGCAAGTTTCGCTGTAATGACATTTTTTTATATAAAGATTAAGAATTAAATCTTAAACCTGTATTTAAGAATACGGATAATTTATAGTTTAAGAATATTGCACGTGCACCAATAATATACTTATAGACAGATAATTGTTGCCGATCCAGTTGAGTATCAAAGCAACCAATATGCATCTGTATAAGTACATGAATCAAATTCGTTAATCTTTCAACTTTCTTATTTGCCTGAAACTATAGCAGAATGAATAGAAGACATTTATGATATGCAGCTTTAACGCAGACAAATACTTCCTCGATTACATTAACTTGGCAGGTTTCATTTCTGTATATGGTTTAGTCATTTGGGGTTGCTCAACACAAATCGCATTAGCTTGTGAACGAGGGTGGTTTCAAATACAAATTTTACCATTTTTACCTAGTATTAGCGGGTTGCCTGTAGCTTAGCTGTTGTTGTATGTAGTTTTAGTCCGTATAATATTCTTATAAATGTTGGAAAAAAAAAAAAACAAAGGAATTAACATTAACCATATGCTTTGGTTCAGTAACTGTGTCTTCATATTATTTACTTAATCAAAACCTGCACATTAGTGGATGCATCTGCGTACCCATCAGATAATGAGTTTATACTTGTGTAGTGTCTTGGTGTCATCTTTCTCGATACAAGGTTTCTCTGAATGGTCTCATTTACAAGTGGGGTGGGGGTGGGGGTGAATGATATCCCAACATGGTGTCCCTAACTAATGAAATTGTCATTAAGCATGCCAGATACCGTAAATTAGAAGTGATCTTTCAGGGAAAAAGAAAAAAAAAAAAAAATCCTTTTCTTGCCTACTGCTACTGATGTGATGATGCCAGAAAAAAGTTAATCTTTAACTCAAAATTTCATCTTTAAGATTTCGCACTACTGATGCATATATGGGACAACCCAAATAAAGAAAAAATAGTAGTTTATTATTACCAAGGTTCAACCACTGTAACTCAAGATTTATATTAAGAAAAACGATACCAAGTGATGACAGGTTTTGGACTTCAACACCATGGATATCAGCGTCTGAGAGTTCAAGAGCGACAACTAACTTGTAGTGTCTTAAAAGAATGTCTGCACACCGGATGATGAAGACATAGAAGAAAGAACCTGTGTCACTGAAGCCATTACGCTCAATGCAGCTTTCAGAACCTCCTGAGAACACCCTGGTTTCACAATGGTCCGTACCTGAAAATCATGAGCAAAAGGATACCAAATAAGAAAGCAATCATAGAAGCAACTTAAAGGGGTCCATGCTATCTATCTGCTGTTTAACCTTCATGCTGCTTCAACGAATTTCACGTTTAAGATTTAATTAGGGATCTACTAGTCAACCAGAAATGAGAAATTTCATTTCAAAATACAGCCAAGTAATGGTTTTAGGACATAAGTGCAAGTCATGTGCAACAATTGGAATATTTTGTGATTAAATCCTTTTGCTTTAGTTGCTCCATTCTTTTGCCCTATTCCTCCACTATTCTTGAATTTAAACGTACTTGCACTGCCAGGTATTTCTCAACTCCTGTTCTCCTAAATTACTCTTGACTAGTCATCTGAGACATCTGAAGATGAACTTGAAGAATATTTAAAACATAATATGCTAATTACCACGCTTGCACTGTCTCAGTCTTCAAGATTTTTAACATATAAAACAAAAAAGAAAAGGATGACAACAGCAATGTACACACCTTGTCAATATATTCCTGAAGCTCCTTGATCCTTCCCATGTAATCCTGGTCTTCGCAACACAGGCTTACAGCCTTAGCATCAGCACCAGGACCATCAAACTGAAGGGGCCCTGGATTTCTGTACAGGTCTTCCAACAAGAATCTTGTAGCATTTTGTCTCAGTAGACTGTAATCAAACGTAATACTATTAAAACTAGGGTGAAAGAAACATGAATAGGGAGAATGCTTCATGTATGGCATCTTGAAGAATTTAACTCTTTTTTTTTATCAATTGAATGAAACTTACTCATATGCTTTGCCTTTCAAATCCACTGCAGCTGGATGAATAGCAGGCATTCCAATTGAGGTGGTGGCATTAGGATTTTGAGACCAACGCTTCACAGTCATCATTGCCTAAGGTTACAATCAAAGATGTAAGCATAACAGATAGTGTTGGACAAAAAAAAAGCACATCAGAAAGCAAGCCAAAGAAACTGAGAAACCATATCAGAAAGCATGCCAAAGGAAACAAGAAACCGTATTGCCTGCTGAATCCATAAAACAAATGCTCCAAAAGGGAAAACTGGGTCAGGGAAGAGAAGGGATTCATGAAAGGTACAAAGAGCTAGAAGAAAAAAAAAATCATATATGATATAAAATGAAGTGGCCATATTCAAAACCCAACCGTAATAGGTGCAGCACCACAACGCCATTTGTTCACAGGGTTCTTCAAGTTAGTTACAGTTGCCATGTAACCATTCAAACCCGCTGCAAGAATATGATAGCAGATGTGTCCAAGAACCTGCAAAAATGACACAGCACTGTCAATAAGGGAGCATATAAGCAAAAGAAAGGGAAGCCATATCACCAATTAGTGGGAACATACGTAGGCATAGTCGCAGTCAAATTTTGATGGTAAGGATCCACGAGCTTGATAACCAAAAAAGTGGCAGACGGCATTGAATTTTTTGCCCTTGTACTTGCCCTGTTTCTATTGAAAAGGAAAAGAGAATAAACATCAGTAAGTAAAAGTTTGAGTTCAGGGTATATATATGGTTAACTCTGAAGCTCATGCTCAACTCCCAAAAGTGGCATAAAAATAGTCAGCTCTTTCTCAAAAGGTAGAGTTCAAAGACTAAAGTTCATTTTATTCTAATTTCTGCAAGTATAGGAGATTTGAAAAATAAAAAGCAATAGAAATGTGCCAATTGGGATTTTACATTTTATGGCAGAAGGAAAATAAACATTATCAACTCCACTTCAACATAAATTAAAGTGGATGGGAGAGTAAAGAAGCATACCTGGCGCTTGTTGATTTCAGTCTCCACAAGGTGTGCAAGAAGTTTCTCTGTCTCAATCTGAGAAAAAATAAAAAATAGATATCAAAAGTAAGTTTGATGGTCCCAATTCATAACGTAGAACTGTAGAACCTTCCAAAATTGTTTACCTGGGACAGCTGTGCAGAATCATCTGATTCAGGATCAAGAAGGAGCTGTAACAACAAATATGGCATCATCAGTCATTCAAGCTCATTTCAACTGGTCTGTATCTTTCAAAGTGAATCACTTGAGGGAAAATCAAAATGAACCTGTTTCCTAATAAAGTCTGGCAAAAAGTTAAACAAAGCAGATGCCCAAGGTGAAAGCTGAGAGGAAATGCTGTCTGTGAGGACACCTTGTCTGAGCAAACTATGAATTTCCTGGGTGACAAAAATCCTAATTATAGATTTTACAGGGAAAAGAGAACTGACACTTAATACAATATAGGTTCGAGCAAAAGAAAGCCTGTATCTTAAGAGAGAGAGGGGAAGGGGGTAAACGTAAAAAAGGTTGGAGGTTCTGCATTGATTACCTTTAAGAGAGCATACACTTCAGGAATGCTTTCTATAAGCCCTTCTGGCAGGAGGATGACCCCATGGTTCTTGTCTGGTCCAAGCACACAATGTTAGGGAAGAAAAACGATAACCAGTTCCCCAGATGAAATATAAGTACTTGAAAATATTTGAACCTTGCTCGGCTCTGGCTTGCACTGCATCACAAATTTGCTTTGTCAGGTCAAAAAGAGTAAGCTTTGATGCAGCCACCTCCTCTCCAAGAATTACCTGAAGAAAAGATATAAAATATTCAAAAAAGAGAAACCAACATCTTCAGACTAATAAATATACAAATTGGAAGAGGCAAGAAATACTAACCATATTTGGATGTGACTGGAGAGTGCATTCAAGAGCTACATGGGATGCCTTCCGACCCATAAGGCGGATAAAATAATAATACTGTGAGGAAAGAAAAGAGAAGCCAAAGGTAAGGCAGAGACAACTTATATTTGTCAAATTTCAGTTGTTTACTCCATGTTCAAATTCAATAATGCTAAGAACTCTACAAATTATAAAGTAACCACCCACAACCACTTTTGTCAATCTATCCGTTAGTTCAAGAGCCAATCTAAGATTGACTCAATTACCTTCTCAGCAGAGAGAGCATCTGTGCACACATTGCTGATGAGCTGGGAATTGACCTACAACCAAATTAAAATCCATGGTTTATTTATTGTGTGTCCTATGTAATAGAAAATAAAAATAAAATACATCACAATTTCTCATTGACAAACGGAATGACCAGCTTATTTTTTCATGTGCACCTTAAGTATTATTCTCTTCCATTTCCATGTAAACTGCAAAAAGAAACCCTTCACTTATACCTTGCATATTGTATCAAAACCGACATCAGTTTCAACAAATTGATTCTTAAGGTCTCCATTTAATGTCACAGGAACACCAACCACCTGCAAAAATGAAATGGCATGAGAAAAACTGAATTGTGACACACTCCCAAGCCCCAACTTGTTTTAAAAGTTCAGAAAAATAAGAGGATAATCACTTTTGTTGCACAATTTGCTGCAGCAAACGTTTCAGCAAGCTGAGCAGCATCTGTGTTTGATGTGACCCCTGCAAAAGATATTCTACTCCTAACTTCACCATCATTTATTCTAACATATTAGCAAGCCATCTTGAGCTCCAATTTTACCTCCAACAATGATAAGACCATCCAATTTCAAATCTTTGCATGCAGTTAGTGCAGCATTAACTTGCTCCATTGTTCTAATTTGATCTTTCGTTCTTCCCAGCAAATCATAACCACCTAGTCCAGTACAATTGTATTTTATAGTCTGTTAAACACAGAAGCGTACAACTACAACTTCATACATCTAAACATAATAACTGCCTCAAAAGTACAATTACCTTGATTTTTGTATGTAGAAAGAACGTCATCTGTTATCTCAAGAGTTTTCTGTGCAAACAAGCCTTCAGAACCACCTATCATGAAGCACAGGAAAAGCATCAGATATCAGAAAGAGCATAACAAGAGAAAAGAGTTTTCAAATTCCTTAACAAATCTATCCTCGTTCAAAAACATACAAGAAGGGATCGATACATAGACCAAGAAGTGAGCAGAATTGTTCCTTTTCAAATTCCGTGTGATTGTGTCGCACTATATAACAGAGAATGCAGCATACCAAGAAATCCCAGCAAAGTGCTCTTTGAGTTGTGGATTTTGAGAGCATCATGGAGGCCCCATATGACATTATGCCCAGAAGGGGATTGTCTCCCACAAAACACAAGTCCAACCCTGTAAGAGAGGGAAAAAAATAGGCATCATGCAACAAAGATTTGGTTGATATGATTTACATCCAAAGAGGAATAAAATGCTATTATTATCTCATTCTATTACAAAGAAACCAATATAATTGGAGTTTCATGCATCAAATGTTATAAATAGCCACCTAATAGTTGGATGTTCAGTTATAATCTGAGCATCAGGGACTTGTGCAGTAGCCCTGAGAAAATGAGCCAAAGGCTGGCCATAAGTGAGGGGGAAAGCTCGATTAATGGTGTGAGCATCAGCAGGGTCTAGAGCTGTAGTTGCATCACCCAATTCAACTCTAACCGTGGTTCCCTGAATATTCAAAAATTCATCAGACAGAAATTAGGTGACCTCCATATATGAGAATCTTAATTGCAGACAATGAGAAAGAAAATTAAAAGCAGTATAGGAATAAAATTAAAAACAGTGGTGGTATGGCATCACAGCAGGAAAAGAAAAGTCTAATCTTTTATTCTATGCTAAAAAGGTAAGAATTATTGTACTAAAATTCATGTCTTTCTCCTTCAGAAAGGTCTATTAAAATAAAGAAGAAAAGAAATAAAATTTAATCTTGTCATATACTTTTCCTAACATAATCCAAAGGGAGCACTATATTCTGCAGTGTCAGTAACAGTATGCCCCAAATAAAAAATTAAAAAATTGTACGCATATATGACCCTCATCCGCATGCATCCAAGCATTTATAATAACTTTTTCACAACTTGTTTCTGAAAAAGCTCCAGACTTTGTGAATATCTTAATGAGAATCGACTTCCTAATTATGCATGTCAGCTTTCTGAGATCAATATGCATCCAACCTAAACCAAAATGAGTAATGATCCCCGGAATGACTGTTGCGGGCCGATTTTGGGGACGACGACTGAAACAGTCCCAACAACAATTACCAATTTGATCCTGCTTCATTTGTCATCCCCTAAAATCGTCCCGCAACGTCGTCCGCGGATCATTACTCAAACAAAATTACCAATAAAAATGAGATCTTTTAAGTGCTAGAATCACTCGTCTTCGAACATGGAGAAGATTTGAACCCAGATGTTCATTAAAAAACAAAGCTTTTTTCTTTTTCAAAAAGGATACAAGTTAAAGCCAGGATATTTTTGAAAGAAAAAGGAAAAACCGAAGTAAAGCGTGGTTGAGGTAAAGAAAACGGACGTGAAAACAATAGATTTAGTGAATCATGCAATAGAGTACAAAAAATAGAAAGAAAAGAAAAAACGGAAACCTGGAGGCAGGGAGGGAGCTCCGGCTGGTATTGAGATCGGAGTTTCTGAAGATTGGAGAGT